TATACTTTTTATAATAAATATATATATCTATGTGTTTTTGTAGGAAACAATACGTAATTCACGGTTTATATTATACATTCGTTAAATATTATATAATTAACGATATAACAACATCGATAAAATTCTATTCGAAGGTCTAAAGTTTCTGTATGTTTTATACGAAATTAAACATGTTATGAATAACTGATGCCAATCATCCGATTAAATGTTATTGATATCACAATTAATTAATTGTTAAAAGTCTACTTTCAAGGTTTCTATTATACGTTCCGCGTAAAATCAATCATATTTAATCAATTACGCGAATGAATATTATCGATATCATGATTAATTAATTAACCAATTAATTAATTACTTGGAAAAAAAAAGATGCGATATAAAAATTAGATGAAGCCTATAACCAAGTCTCATCAGACGTCCATCAAATGTTGCAATATAATTTTTCTCTTGTTTATTATTCCGTTTATATTTTTTTTTTTTATTTTCGCCCAGAAATTCGTAATAAAAATTTCAGCTTCAATTTTTGATACACGCAATTATCGCGCGAATCTTTCAAAAAAAATTATTGCCGATCCGCGCATTCTTTTCTTCCAATTGTTCTTCCATTCTCTTCTGGATATTAATATCTCTCTTAATAAAAATTAAAATCATGGTCGATAAAACTTCCTGACGTCGAAAATATAATTCCTCTTCCTCTCCCGGGAAGAAAACTCTGATGCCAAACTCTGATCCGACGACGCTTTAATAAATCGCAAAAGTGGTATCGCTAGTTCCTTCCAGAAATTCTTTTCCTCCTCTGCTTATTTTTTTTTTTTTCTTTTTCCTTTTTTCTTTTTCCCTCGCCTCGGACGTTTTCAATTTAAGAGAAAACCCTCTCGCTCGCGTGCTGCGACTCTTTGATTTACCGAAGTGTGACAAAGTGTACGCGTTCAGAAATCGTCGTGAAACGAATTACGTGTACAAGTTCGATGTGTGGCCAGTGATTCATGACGCGGCCATAACCCTTTTATATAGATCGCGATAATAAAAAGCAAAATATAGAATCGGGGCGTGCATTTAACGCGACGAAAAATTCCTCTCTCTCTCTCTCTTTCTGTCTTTTTTTTCCTTCCCCCCTCTCTTTTCGAAACATCGAATTATTCCGACGAGTTATTCCTTCGAAACTCCGGAATACCAATAGGGGTTCGTTTTTCTTTTTTTTTTTTTTTCCTTCGAGCCGAGCCAAGTTTTGACACAAACTATTCACTAATAATAGTCTGCGATATCGACTGGTATGTAACGTACAATGGCGGCGGAGAAAAGAGAAGTTCGGTGTACTCGTGGAATTCAAGGAAGCCGAACAGAGCCAGAGTGGTTTGAAATGGCGGAATGTGTAGATGGGAGGATAGAACGGTACCAGTTTGTCCGTTCTTTTGCCGAGGGGGGGGGACAAAGAAAAACGCGAGGTGGGAAAATGAATGGATAGGTGAATGGGCGGCTCTCCACCAGCCGCTTGGTGGATCGTGTACACAAATTTCTTTCATCGAGGAGGAGAATTCGAAATAAATAAATTTCTCTTCTCGCGAGGCGAAGAAGAAATGGAGAAGAAGAAAAAGGGAAGTTGAAAAATCTAATTACCTCCCCTTGTTCAATGGAAAATCGATCCGATCGTTCGAAATTCCGTTTGAATTTAATATTCCGTGGGAAAGGATTGGATTAATTGTGTTGCGGGGCGATAAAGAGCGAGGCGATGCCACTCTCGCGCGCTGTTTTCCTTGGAGCGAAGGTCGGGAATTTCGTCGTAAATCCGTCCGAGGAGCCATGACCGAGCTTTCAACCAGGATGGATGAATAGCTGAGCGGAGGGGAGGGGATTACTTCCGTCTCATTAGCGTGGGCGAGATCGAGGAATACGTCACGCCTGCCGACTACACGTACACGCCGAAAATCCTAATTCGTTCTATTCGACGGAAAACCCGGCCGATGATTAACCTTTGACGAATTTGTACCCCTCCTCCGCCATCAGTGGAGGGTGGAGGAGGCGGAAATAACCGGGATCGAGTCGCGTCGATTTTTGGCCGTTGCATAATTTATGACACATAGATGTATGTTTATGAATAATGCAGGGAATAAAGCGTATAAAGGAAAGTTTCGTTGATCGTTAGAAGAGAAATTTGTTTGTGGACAAGCAGATCTCTTTTTTTGGAACAATTTTCAGATACATTTGATTAATCCATTGTGTTCAAGATAATTCTCCCCAAAAAAGTTTTGCTTTGAACTGAGTTACAACTGAGATCGAAACGGAGCAACAAGTAGCCCATGAAACATTAAAAAAATCTTTCGACGATCGGGTCGAGGATAAAAATCTCGTAAATAGTTTTTAGAAACTTTCTTTTTTTTTTTTTAAAAAAAACGAAACGAAGATTCCTAAAAAAAAAGGGATTAATCATGGTACGAAGTAGGAAAGCTTAAGAATTGTACTGGAGATTTGGAGCGCGATACCTTCAATTTTTAAGAAGTTTAGCGTTTGGTATAATTGTAGAATATATAACTAGGTATTAATTGAAGGTCCAGGTCGGATCGTACATCTAGTAATTTCACACCCATTGACAGGGGTACGCGTAGAAATTAGATACCCATTGATGATAGTGCATGTAGTAATTATACACACGCTGATGATAGTGGGTGTAGTAATTACATACCTTACAATAACGGAACAAGCAGTAATCTACGCGGTCCTAGCAGCAATACTTGCCACGGATAACGCTTGCCACTGTAGTCTCTATTAACATTGGTAAGTAAGCATGTCGCGGAAGATCCTCCAGGCTTGTTCCACGAGATACAGAGGCAGACAGTACAGTCAAACGTGAAATTGAAACCTTGTCTAGCGCAAACACGTGTTATCGTTCTCTATCATCTCATTTTTTCCTATTATATTAACTAAACTTGTTGCATATAATAATTATTTCCAACAATTAATTCCAAGTTTTTAGAAAATCGTCGCAACTTTCGAAGGGGGAGTTCAAAAGTTAAATTTCGTTGCAAATAATTTTTAGCCTTTGCCTAAAAAGCGCACTGTTTTCAACTGTACATTATTATCGGAATATAGAATTGCGTGAACTGGAAGCAATTCGTACAGACTTATCCCTTAAGAAGAAAGTGCCAAAGTTGCACATGGCGCGAGAACGCCACCCCATCACGGATGACGCGCTGCTTTCCACTGTGATGCTAATAATCCATCGGATATGATTGCCGATTTATGCAACCGCAGCATAATGCGTGCACGATGCGTGTCCAGAAGCCACTTAACCCTCCCCAGAAGAAGAAGAAGAAGAAGGAAATGGTTTGATGGATGAGACCCCCGTGACGTAACTCGTCGCATTCTCGTGAAACAAACTCGACTCGATGGAAATTCCAAATTCAATACCTCTTCATCAATACCTCTCCCCCGTCCTCGATTGTGCGCACGAGTCACACAGTGTCATTGTGATTCAGCTGAAATCTTAATGGAGTATCGAGAACGTTCGAACGATGGAGCAAACGTTCTCCATTACTGCCCCCTTCTCTCGTTTCTCCCCATTACGGTCCCAATAAAAGGGGGAGGAATCCACCGTTTTTTCTCTTTTTTCCTTTCTCTTTTTTTTTTTCTTCTTTTGCGTGGGTGGATATGCAAGGGAGGAGAACCACCACGTTTGCTGACGTCATTTTTAACCAGCGCGATCCATTCTCGCCGGCGACGAGGCTGGCTGGGGAAACGCTTCCATTTAGATGCTCATCTCGTGGAAAAGATTTTCCACGGGATATATTACGGGGGAGACGTTATGTCTCCTTTCGTTCCGTGGAAGGAGAGATGGTATCTACGAAATAAACGATCACGGTTAAACGCTTTGCTCGCAATACGAGCCATTAACGGCGCATCCACGCTAATATCCTGCCTCCGATACCTCCACCCACCCTCCCCCAGACAGTGGTGAGTGTCAGACATAAACACGGGGCTAGACGTCTTTGCCTTAATAGATTTCAGGCTATCCCTCTCGCCGAGCATCGTGTAATTCGATCCGATTTCCCTCAACAATTCCTTAAAACACGAGCGCTTAAGTGGACGCATGCCTCGTGTGTAAATTCGGGATGCTGCTGTTCAATTTGTAATTTGTCCATCCAAATATCGATTACAATGTCGATAAATCGATTTCGTTCAATTTAAAAAGCCACCACTGATCGATCGATAGCCGAACGATCAAATCTTATTGAAATCACGATGGGAACGAAATATCTCGTCGTTCAAGGAAGAAGAAGAAGAACAAGCCAGGTATAAACGTGACGTTTTCATCGACCAGTCGCTGTTATCAATCTTCGTTTAAAAAAAAAAAAAAATAAAGGAAAAGATGTGCACCGCCTTATTTGTTCCACGCCAACCACGTAACACCTCATCGAACGATAATAAAGTCGTCGCTTGAAACCGCTTCGTTCACCGGTTTAAACCGATCGATTATCGTCCTCCATGATAAATACCTTTCACGTGCAACTGTCCGGCCAAGGACACCCCTGTCCGAATCCGAGAGAGAGAGTTTCCAGGTGTTTCCACGGAGCTATAGTGCGGTAGACGTGCCAGCCACGCTCTCTGTGCACCTTCGAAGCGATACGTCATCCGTGACAACCCGCCTCGCCGATAACCTCCGCCGTCTCCGTGCAAACCTCCCCTCCCTCACACCTCGTCGCGGCGGCCCACGGCCATCCATCATGTTTGAGTAATGTAGGGACACGATTTCGCGTTATTGCGAATGACCGACTCCGGGAGAGAGGGGAGGAGGAGTCACCCGTCTACTCCACTTGCAACACTTCCTTGAATTATTATTCCAAGAAATTGACCCTTTTGTCGAAGGATGGGACACGATTTAGGAAAGGGTTAATGGGATGTCGTATATGGATTGAAAATATTATTTCGAAGTGTTCGTGAAGATGATCTCTTTCTCTTTATATTAAGAAGGTTATTTCGAAATATTTCGTTGAATGAAAACTCACCGTTATGAACGAGCAGAGCAGAGTCGCGGGCAACAGTGATCAGATCACTATCGGTGAGGGTTTCGTCGGACGCGTTACCGGAAGTCGGTGTGTCGCTAAGTCCAGCGCCGGTGCTGGGCATATGATACAAGGGATGCTGTTGTTGCTGTTGATAGGCACGTTGTTTATGCTGGCTGGCGTTGTAGTGATTTAGATGCGATTGCGTGGTCTGGTGATTGTTTTGAGGGTAGGCGGGGGGGGCACGACCTCGCAGGCTTGGCGAATTTTCCTCACCCTCGCTGCCGCTCAAACTGTAGGCCGGGTAGAGCCGTCCCTTCCCTGAAATGATCGTCAAAATGATCGTTTTTTTCTTTTCTTTCGTGTAAACACGCTTTTTAATTACGATACGATAAGGAAACAAGAAGGCCGGAGTGTTTAATTTTTTACATTTTTCGAATATTTTTCTTTTATTTTTTTATTGTAAGTAATTAATATCCAGCTTTGCGTAAGGGGTTTCATAACAAAAATGGAACGATTAAAAGCCCTCTCTCTTCTGCCGGGTTATTGAATTCTCGCCTATGGAATTTTTATTACACTATTTTGGTATTCGACGAATACGAGTCGGTATTCGCGATATTTAAATCATAATTTCGCGAATGAAAGAAATCATTGGAAGGTGGGGATTGAAACTATACGCTTGTGGACACGGCCCGATATCTCTCTTCATTTCTAACCTATTTATTAACAAGCACAATCGCTCCATCCCATACATATATAAATAAACAATACCTGCATTCGAACCTCGCTATACGAACCGTACACCATACATTTTATTAAATTTTCCAGAATAACCAAACAAGTGACGCGTGAACTGATGTATCGTTCATCGAGATGATGATTCAAATAAAGTCCAATTAAATTTCTTTCTCGAAACGATCGACGAAAGAAACGATCCAACGTCGAGAGAGGAAGGGAGGGGAGTTTATTCCGAATTCCGGCTGGATAGAAGCTAACGGTGTCCGTTTACACGGAAGGGGACACCGAAGAACAGAAATACCGTGGTGGTCGGATAAGTTTCCAGCGGAAGGTGGCAAAACAATTCCAACGTGACGCGCACTTGGACAAACAGACGAGACGAAAACGAGACTTCCGGATCGTAAGATGTTCAAGAGGAGGGGAGAAACTGCCCGAAACGAGAGGTTATATTCTTTTTTTCGAAAAAATCTCGGTCATCATGACGTCATCCCCTTTTTGCCGCAACCAATGCCACGAGATTTCTTCCTTTTTTTCGTGCCGCGAAACATAAGACGGCGACAGTTGTTGAATCCTCGACGAGAAGACTAATCGATCCCACGGGTGACCGCGAGTTGTCATCGAAAACGGGACGCGCGCATGTGTTGTCGGGTGACGAGAGAACAGGAAAACCGGTTTTTTTTTTTTTTG